ATACAGCCATTATGTTGATCTAGGAACAACACCAACACACGAGTATCAAGATAGACCTCTGTAAACACTCACTGTTGTACCTTGCTCCCGACTTTCTCCCGTATACTAACCTTGTTTTTTTTCCCCCTTTGTGGGAAACACCTCGATGGTGCAAAAACATGTATGTGTGTTTTATGTGTTTTATGTGTCAAACATTGTTAGGTTTTGCATTTGTTATAGGTTAAAAATAAAAACAATTTCCTGAAAATGGTCAAGTACAAAGACTGGACTGGAAACAAAAAAAAAAAAGGCTAACGTCCAAAGAACTATTTTGAAGAACCCCAGAAAGCCAGAAGAATTAGACATGAGTCGTGCCGCACAAGTTTAGATAAACTAAAGACCTTAATTCACTGAAATCTCAGCCAAAATAAGAGATACCACAACCAAAATTTACCATAGAAAATAGTTTGCTCCAGTTTCTCTACTTCCAGAAATTCTGCTGGACCCTGCAGTGGACTTGAACACTGCAATGCTCATCAGGATACAGCTCTGACTGTAACTAGAGATCCACATTAGAGAAAAGACAATGGAAACAAACATTAAACTTTAGAAGCACAAGAGCATCCCCAAATGAGCTCTTGTGACTGACATTGGTTGTAGGTAACATGATAGGACATAGTGGCAGGAGATTCATATCTGACATATTGTAAAGTCTAGCTCCTTGAACACTAAATATCAAGAAATGAAGAATGGGTCACAATTTTGCACAGTACTGTAAATAAACAAAAAGATGAGTTAACAATACTTGTTATAAAGTGATATCTAAAATATTGGAAATCTAGTAACCACCATAGCCGAAGCAGCAAATCTCTTTAATGTTTGTAGATAAATTCAACTTTTAAACTAGAAAAATTTACTCATCTCACTGAGTCAAACTCATTCTCACAAAGAAGAGGTGGAGTGACTGACAATTCTGCTGAAATGAGCAGAAGCTGCTGAGAATTGTGCTGATAAGAGGTGAACAGGCTGAAAATTCTGCAGAAAAGAGGTGAATCAGCAGAATTTCTGCAGAAAAGACGGAAAGAAGCAGAACATTGCACTGAAAAGAGTTT